CCGAAAGAATATCACTCAAAATCGCTCAAAAATCACTCAAAAGCCTAACACAAAGGATCACACAATTTGAATAAATGTTTAATTCATAACTAATAATAAAAGTAAATTTAACACTTTACCTTGAAAAAGTGTCAAGATGATTTGATGGGGGAGGAGGTTATACTGTACCTCCCACAGAAGGCACTTCACAGCAAAGCCCGCAAACTGATCATGTGATGCCGGCGTGGAAACTCTTTCGGCACTAACATTGTACATATTCACAGAAAAGCCCATGAAACAATTGTATGATGTCAGCGCGTACTTCTCCACGCACTGATGGAATCACGTTATAGCCAACACAAGTTTGTGTTTTAGAAATAGCATTTCCCTATTTGTCAGTCACGTTACAGCCAATTTGCATTGCCGGAACACACCTGATGGCAGAACTGAATGTGCAGATCATCACTACCAATTAAGTCTGCCTTTGGAAGCTAATGATTATGCCTGACAACTTCGGAAAAAGGAAGAAAGATTTACACTTAGAGATTTTCAAATAATGAAGCACTTTTTGAGTATAGTCACTAGCGTAATATAGGAAACACCCCAGACAATTTACACAAAGCCTACTTCCACAAATGGCAATATGATAACTTCAAATAGCCTGGTTTAATAATCGTGGTTCCATGGTTGATATGACCAGGACACAGAAAATAACAGATAAAAACTGAAAGAACTGCAGATGTTGTAAATCAGGAATAAAAACAGAAGTTGCTGGAAAAGCTCAGCAGGTCTGGCAGCATCTGTGAAGAAAAAATCAGAGTTAATGTTTTGGGTCCAGTGACCCTTCCTCAGAACTGATGATGGCTGGGAAAACGTCAGTTCTTTTTTCAATAGATACCTATTCAAAGTGTGAGCATTTTTTTTCAAGCTCGGGACAGTCAGGGTTTCAGTTTAACATCTCACTCAAAAGACAATACTTCAGAAACCAGCACTACTTCAGAAATACGCTGCAGTGAAAGCCAAGATATTTGTACTTAACTCTTTAAGTAAGAATTTGAAGAATTGTCACTGCCAGGAGCATCTACCTGTGACATGTGGCAACTCTAGGAGAGTTCAACTGTCCTGGATGGTTTCATTTGCAGGAAGTGTGTACAGCCATAGCTCTGTTGTACATCAGGGTGGGTCAAAGTCCAATCAAGCAGTGGGAGTTGGGGGCTGAATAGTTAGAGGCACAGATAGTTGTTTCTATGGCAGCAAATGAGACTCCAGGATAGTGTGTTTCCTCCCTGGTGCCAGAGTCAAGAATATCTCCAAGCATGCTCAGGACATACCGACGGGGTCTGGTGAACAGCCAGAGGTCATGGCACACATTTGTACCAATGACATAAACTGGAAGAGAGATTCTACGTGGAGAATTCAGGGAGTGAGGCCATAATTTGAAAAGTAGGACTTCCACGGTTGTCATCTCAGGATTACTCCCCGTGCCATATGGTAGGGAGATAACGAATAGGGAGATAGTACAACTTAACACGTGGCTAAAGTGTTGGTTGCGGGGGGAAGGTTTCAGGTTTTTGGATCATTGGGATCTCTTCTAAGGCAGGTGGGACCTGTACAAAAAAGATGGATTGCATCTTAACTGGAGTGGCCTCAACATCCTGGTGGGGAGGTGTGCTAGCACAACTCGAGTGGATTTAAACAAATTAGGCAGGAGGGTGGGAACCAAAGCAACAGGTCAGAAAGTAAGCAGAAGGTAGAGGTTAAGAGAATAAACAGGCAGCGTGAGGGAAGTAATCATAAAAAATCAAAATGGGAGTTGAAAGTTGGATTAACTGATAGAGGTGAGTCTCAGTGTTGTCAGGAATAATAAAACAAAGATGAAGAGCGTGGAAAGCATAGCGCAGATGAAAATATTAAAAGAGAAAGACAAAGCAATATAACTTATTGAAAAACCTTGCACCTAAATGCACGCAATATTCAGAAAAAGTTAATGAGCTGGTGGGTATTACTGAAACATGGTTACAGGAAGATCAGGACTGGGAGCTAAATGTCCAAGAGTACTTAGTGTTCCGAAAGGATAGACAAGAAGGAGCATGAAATGGAGTTGCTTTATTGGTTAAAGATGACATCAAAGCTGTATTAAAAAATGATATTGACACTATGGACCAAAACGTTGAATCAGTCAGGGTGGAAATAAAAAGCAAGAGAAGGAACCCCATGATAGGAGTAATTTACAGGCCCCCAAACAATACTTCTGAAGTAGGGTATCATATAAACACACAGCCTAGTCACATAACTGATGAGATGAAGAGCAAAAGATTGTGAGAGAAAGGTTGCTCTGAGCAATGCTGGACTGAGTGCTATGAAACTTTCTGTTATAAACACTTGAAATGAAAACTGGGGAATTCCATCCAGAGACGGAAGGAGGAGACATACCAACATGCTGCTTGATTGGAGGGTCACTAAGAAAGTTTGGATCAGCTGATGTTGTTTTCCAAGGAGCAGCAAAGATTGAGAGGAGATTTGTCAGAGGTATATGAGATTGGTGAGGTGTATAGGAAGGTACTTGGTCCATTGGTACTGGGGTTAATAACCAGGGGTCATACATTTAAAGTAAGAGATAGAAAGCTAAGAGGAGAATTGAGGAGAAAGTTTTCACCCAAAGGGCAGTGGGAGTCTGTAACCCACTGCCTGAAGGGCTGATTGAGTTAGAAGCTCTTGAAACATTTAAGCAGAGTTTAGATGTTCACTTGTGTAGTTATAGCCTTCAGGGCTACGGGTCAAGAGCTGGAAAATGGGATCAGTATCGTGAGATCTTGAGTGAGATGATAAGTGAGCATCAGTCTCTTAGTAAGGTGACTTGAAAAGCTCCTCAGAACCCGTGCTATGTCCTCAAGAATCATTTTGAGGGCATTGTAAGTACCTAATTACATTCGCAATAATCACTAAATTGTGCAGTTTGACAAAATGATACATATAGAAGCAATTGTAGCCACTCAGAAAAACTTATTGGTATTGACTATCTGAACTGAAAATACAATCTACTGTGAACATGGATTACTACAATGTACTTAGGTGTGAAGCCAGTTTCACATGGAAACACTTTGGATTTAAGCAATTATATAGAAACGTGTGAAATAGAACAAGGTTATGATCAGTAAGTCAAGTAAGTATTAAGGTGCATCAAGAGAAGCCTGGAACATAAGTTGAAACAAGTTAGTTACCTCATATCCCTAGTTTTTAAAAGCAAACTTAAAATTCACCAATGGCCATAATTTGTGCTAGCTGGAGTTCTCACTGCTATGTGTAAAAGAAGCGTACCCTAATACCCCAAACTACACAGTATGTTTGAAAGTGCTCCATTGCTGCAAATTGTTTTGAGAGATCCTGAAGTCATAAAAGTTGCTCCATGAATGCAATTAATTTTTTAAACTAATTTTTATATAACGGCTACATACATCTGAATGTGCATTTAGACATTCATACACAAGTCAGATTAAATAAATGAAAATCTTTGGTTCAAATGATTAACAATATATAGAAATATAGCTAATATAGGAACAAAGGGAGGAATATGTTGGTCAATATGTGAAGTTTTTGATCACAAGGCAAGTGTCACTTCATATTGGCATAATTGTAAACTCACAAAATTTTCAGTCATATTAAGATCAATGTGTGTCATAAAATGATCAATATTAAAAGAAGTAAGTGTTTGCTTTGGCGGTAGCATGAAAATCAGAACTAGTTGCTCTTGAATATTATCTACATGATATATTCTTGACTGCTGCGTCTGGCATTTTTTGATCTTACTACCATATTTTTATTCAAATGGCCACAGCATTGCCCTCCAAGCATATTTCTTTTCCCTTTCATTTTTTTTTACAGCCAGAAAGTCAGTCTCCCCAAGTGGATCAATGTTAAATAATTGAACGTGCACATTTATACTGTACAGGAAGAGTCATTTTAGTTTAATCCATGGGCTACTGCTGCCTGTGTCACACTGTGTGTGTTTGTACTTTCAAGAGAAATAATGGAAGACAACCGGAGAGCAGATTAAAGAGTTTCTTTTAAAATTAAAGCACAAAGAAATGTTGTCTCTACAACCTGGCAGCAATATGGCAGAGAGCTTTGCTAGTCTTTTATAGAACCCTTTTGTTTCAATGAATCAACAGTTCAAAGGGAGGTTAACACATTATTGTCTGATCAGTCAAGTTAAAAATCTTCCTCAAGTTTTCTCAAAGATAAGGTTACCAAGGTATACATTTGCATGAGAACTGCTGAATGATTTAATAATACTTTACCAATGTAATGGCTGTTGGTTTACTGTGCTTTTTACTGATAACCACAAATGGTGCACATGTATGGGAGCAGAAGACAGAATGGAAACAGCTGCGGTGCTGTAGTGAAGTGACAGCATTTCCACGTTAAAATGGTGCAGAAAAGTGGCTGAAGAATGCAATTGTATTCCCCTGTCTTAAAAAAAAATTACCGTGCCTGAATAAAATCTATGCATTTCTAAAGGGCTAGAAAGGGCAATTTAATTTTTCCCATTTAAACTACATCACAGTTTCAAACAACTATGTTATTAATGCATGACGTCTGTATACAGATGGACAACTTACAAACATAATCCAGAAGAATGTGATTTTCTGGTGTCCCTTTTGGAAGCAAAGAATTTTTTAATTGCACATTTCTGTGAAAAATAGAAAAAAATAACGTGAAGTCTATTTATAGAAATTTAGCTATTCATGCTTTTTGAACATGAGTTCAGAGCCAACACTTGGATGGTTTATAATAGAATAGTCAACATCGGAATGTCAGTTTTACATATTAATTCTGATGTCTTTAAACAAAAAACGGTAGCTGCAGTTTCAGATTTAAAGGATGCTTGTCAATGCACTGAGATTTTCTTTCTTCGTGTGCTGACATCCCTTTCATCACTAAATATTGTTCGATAAGATGGTTGTTTGATAAAGTTAAATTCAAAGTACTAAACTGTCTTCATCTTTCTGAAAACATAAAAGGAAACTAGCAAAGAAGCAGAAGGAAACACAGAACAGCACCCAGCGAGAGATGGAACCTGTGGTAACAACAACAGACAAGAGTTGTAATAAACACAGATCAGCTCCAAGAGATGAAGCATGTAAGTCCTAACATGAGCATCAGTTCTGAGGGATTGAATTTTCATCAGTCAGTGATAAAAAGAACTTGGGAAGATTTTGAGGTTAGACTATCAACTCTATGTGAATTTGACTCAGTTTTTTGCTTCATGGACTGAGTGAAATAACCTAAATATGCCTATTTTTCTTTAAAAATGTCACAATCCTATACACCAAATTAATTTCTCATCAGTTTATTTTAAATTGACATCTAAGATATGGTGAAAAGCATGCATTTTTTCTCCAGGATAAAGCACAATATTAGCTTCTTCTGCTGCCATGGCACTGAAGGGATTAAAAACAGTTTGACGTATATTTTGATATAGATATTACAGATATTATTTATTTTATCTCAACTGTATCTCCGCAGGAGCATCAAGGTATTCAATTCAAATAAAAACATCTTGCGGAATTTGTTCAAACATGTATTGGATTTGTGACTTTGAAATTAAAACTGTTACTTAAAATTGCTTGGGGTTTGGTTATTTTCTAGAGGGCATTTCATAGCCTGGTGGGTCAGAACGAATAAGAACGCCCTTATAAGATGACATTCAAGTTTAGCTCAGCTTTTATGATTATCTTATTATTTTGTACTTTCTGATAGATATATCTAAGCTTAAAGATGACTACAAGCAGCAGTGTATCATATCAGCAAATCTCACTGATTAATAAATATATCTGTAAAATAAAGACAGCCTACTATGTTATTCTGCCACATTCTAAAGGACATTGGAGATTGTACAAGCAAAACGTTTAAAAACATGAGCAGGCCATTCAGGCATTCAGTAAGTTTGGGGCTTAGTTGATTGTGGCTGCAACTTCACATTCTGATCTACCTGTGATAAATGCTGACTCCCTTGTTGGGCAAGAATCTATATACTGCTGCCTTAAAAACATTCCGCAGTCCTGTCTCTCTGATTTCTGGGTAAGAGTTCCAAAGACTCATCACCCTCTGAAAATGAAAAAAGTTGTCTTCATTTCCATTCTAAGTGGGAAACCCCTTATTTTCAAACAGTGCCCCTGTTTGTAGTCCCTCCCACTAGAGGAAACATCCTGTAGCATCCATCTTAAGTTCCCTCAGTATCAGGCCTCACTGGGAAATTAAGTCCTACCATCCCTGGAGTCAGTACAAAAACAAAAAAAAATGCTGTTGAAGTATACAAAGTCCCCAGTTTACCTGCCAGCTAGACCCAGGTTAACAAAAAACATGGAACAGTTTCAGTAATTAAGAAACAATATTTATTACAAATAGATTCTAATCACAGGCAAACAAGAATGAAGTGTCGACATATAACTCAACTCGTTACAACTCTATTCCCTACATGCATACACAGACAGAGACAGACAAAAACATTGGTGTTAAGAATGGACGAAAAAAAGAACTGGGGAAACAGTTCAATAGCATCAACCTCAAAATTTAGTGGGGTGTACCTTTAATTCTCTGATCTTTTCCTTTACATTCTCTCACTTCTTTACAGGAGGCACAGAGTGACTGGTTAACACATTATGCAGTCTCTGACTTATTGGTTAAAAGCAACAGCCTTCAGCATCCTCCGACACTTCCGCCATCTGCAATCCGACCCCACCACCAAAGACATCTTTCCCTCCCCACCCTTATCTGCTTTCCGGAGGGACCACTCTCTCCATGACTCCCTTGTCCGCTCCACACTCCCCTCCAGCCCCACCACACCCGGCACTTTTCCCTGCAACCGCAGGAAGTGCTACACCTGTCCCCATACCTCCTCCCTCACTCCTATCCCAGGCCCCAAGAAGACTTTCCACATCAAGCAGATGTTCACCTGCACATCTGCCAATGTGGTATACTGCATCCGCTGTACCCGGTGTGGCTCCCTCTACATCGGGGAAACCAAGCGGAGGCTCGGGGACCGCTTTGCAGAACACCTACGCTCGGTTCGCAATAAACAATTGCACCTCCCAGTCGCGAACCATTTCAACTCCCCCTCCCATTCCTCAGATGACATGTCCATCCTGGGCCTCCTCCAGTGCCACAACGATGCCACCCGAAGGTTGCAGGAACAGCAACTCATATTCCACTTGGGAACCCTGCAGCCCAATGGTATCAATGTGGATTTCACAAGCTTCAAAATCTCCCCTCCCCCTACCGCATCCGAAAACCAGTCCAGCTCGTCCCCGCCTCCCTAACCTGTTCTTCCTCCCACCTATCCCCTCCTCCCACCTCAAGCCACACCCCCATCTCCTACCGACTAACCTCATCCCGCCCCCTTGACCTGTCCATCCTCCCTGGACTGACCTATCCCCTCCCTAACTCCCCACCTACACTCACCTTTACTGGCCCCATCCCCGCCTCTTCGACCTGTTTGTTTCCTCTCCACCTATCCTCTCCTCTATCCATCTTCTATCCACCTCCCACTCTCTCCCTATTTATTTCAGAACCCCCTTCCCCTCCCCCTTTTCTGATGAAGGGTCTAGGCCCGAAACGTCAGCCTTTCTGCTCCTATGATGCTACTTGGCCTGCTGTGTTCATCCAGCCCTGCACCTTGTTGTCTCAGCCTTCAGCAACTGTTCTGAAGAAGAGTCACTAGACTTAAAATGTTATCTCTGATTTCTCTCTACAGATGCTGCCAGGCCTGTTGAGATTTTCGAGCAGTTTTTGATTTTGTTTCTGATTTCTAGCATCCGCAGTTCTTTGGTTTTTTCGCTTAGCTTTCATCAACTGGTGCGAGAAAATAAATTGACATTCTTCAATCTTCAGTAATTTTACTGGAGAGAGAAACGCACCCTCTGCCCGTACAGCAGTCCAAAGGCTTCAGCCAATATAGCTACCAAACACAAGCTGTTCAGCAACCCAGGAGCCAATCAGAAATTATCAGGCTGAACATTTTCACACAGAGGCTGGTGCATAAATGGAAAAAGCTGCCAGAGGAAGTGGTGGAGGCGGGTACAGTTACAACGTTTAGAGGGATATAGGCAAAATGCAGGCAAATGGGCCTTGTTCAGTTTATGAAACCAGGTCAGCATGGACAAGTTGGGCCAAGGGGCCTGTTTCGGAACAGTATGACTGTAAAATTCTACGACTCTACTGATTACGACAGGGTTTAATTGGTTGACACAGAAAAACAATGTCTCCACTTTCACAAGCATTAGAACTTGGCACCAGAAATATAAGGTAATCACAAATAAATCCAATAGGAAATTCAGGAGAAATTTCTTTCTCACAGGAGAAAATAGCACTTACTACTACAGGGAATGGTTGTGATGAACAGCAAAAAATGAATTTAAGGAAAAAACTGGATAAATCCAGATAAAGTGAATAGACAGAGCTAAATGATGCCACAACCACTGGATCAGATTTAAACTCTGCAGTCCTGCCATTTCTGGCCGTGGTGGACAATTAAACAGTGGCGCAGTGCTCAGCACTGCTGCCTTTAAGTGCTAGGGTCACTAGTTTGATGCCACCATTGGACAACTGTCTGTGTGGAGTTTGCACATTCTCACTTTGTCTGTGTGGGTTTCCTGGGTGTTCCAGCTTTCTCCCGCAGTCCAAAGATGTGCGAGTTAGGTGGATTGGCCATGCTAAAAAAATTGCCCATGTTATCCAGGGATGTGCAGGGTAGTTGGGTTAACCATCATTAAAACAAAACCCATTCAGGGGTTGTGGAGATGCAGTGGGAAGCTCTTCAGGCAGTTGGTGCAGACTCAATGGGCTGAATGGCCTCTTTCTGCACTGTCTGGATTCTATGATGGACGTTGCCATCCACAACTGGTCACAATTCCACAAACCAATCAGAAACCTGTTTCTAGCTGATTGCCCAATATTCTGCACATTTTGTGACTCTTTAAATACTGATACAGTCCATGACCAAATAGACAATATCCTGGACAGTATCCAGGATCAGGCTGACAAGTGGCAACTAACATTCAAACTGTATAAGTGCCAGGAAATAACTGTGTCTAACAAGAAAAAATCCAATCATCACCCTTGACATTCAAAGGCATTAACATTGTTGAATCATCCACTATTCATACTCTGGGGTTACCATTGACCAGAAACTGATTTGGATTATTCATATAAATAGCAACTACAAGAGCAGGTCAGAAGCTGAGAATCCTGCAGCAAGTAACTCACCTCCTGACTCCCCAAAGCCTGTCCACCATCTTCAAGGTATAAGTCAGGAGTTTGATGAAATACTCCCCACTTGCCTGGATGGGTGCAGCTCCAATATTACCCAAGAAGCTTGTTGCCATTCAGGACAAAGCAGCTGGCTGGATTGGCACCACATCCACAAGCACTGAGTCCCTCCACTACTGAAGCTCAGTAGCAACAGTGGGTACCATCTACAAGATGCACTATGGAAATTCATCAAGGCTCCTTAGACTGTACCTTCCAACCCGTGGCCACTACCATCTACAAGGAAATGGTAGCAGATACGTGGGAATACCTGCATGTTTCCCTCAAGCCACCTACCATCCTGACTTGGACAAATATTGCTATTCCTTCACTGTCACTGTGTCAAAATCCTGGAACTTCCTTTCTAATAGCACTATAGGTGTACCTGCACCAAATGAACTCCAGCAGTTCAAGAACGCAGCTCACCACCGCCTTCTGAAGGACAATTAAAGTTGGGCAATAAACCTTGACCCAGCCAGTGACACATTCCATAAGTGAATTGTCACATCTCAGTAGGATAGCATGACAGAAATCAAGCCCCTCTATTCTTGGAGATGATACAAAAGTTAAAGATTTTATAAAAGTGCACTAAATTCCCCAATTTACTTTTCCTTTCTGAGACTCAGGATAACAGAAAGTATGGACCAGATTTCTGTATTTAACAAGAATTACTATTTATTAAAAATGAATTTATTCGAGCTATGGGTAAGCAACAGTATTGACATATAACTCTACTAATTCTGAACCCCCTTATAAACATCCACCAGAGCTCATAAGAACGTAAGAGCTAGGAGCAGGAGTAGGCCATCTGGCCCTTCAAGCCTGCTCCGCCATTCAATAAGATCATGGCTGATCTTTTCGTGGACTCAGATCCACTTACCCGTGTTCTCACCATATCCTTTAATTCCTTTATTGTTCAAAAAAAATCTACCTTTTTTTTAAAAACATTTACGAAGTAGTGTCAACTACTTCACTGGGCAAGGAATTCCATAGATTAACAACCCTCTGGGTGAAGAAATTCCTTCTCAGTTCAGTCCTAAACCTGCTCCCTCTAATCTTGAGGCTATGCCCTCTTGTCCTAGCTTCACCTGCCAGTGGAAACATCCTCTCTACTTCTATCTTATCTATTCCCTTCATAATTTTATATGTTTCTATAAGATCCCCCCTCAATCTTCTGAATTCCAATGAATATAATCCCAATCTACTCAGTGTCTCCTCATAAGCCAACCCCCTCAACTCCGGAATCAACCTAGTGAACCTCCTTTGCACCCCCTGCAGTGCCAGTACATCCTTTCTCATACAGACATGAAAAAGAAACAGTGGTGCGATGAGTGCAGGCAAAAACTGGAAAAGCAGTTCAATGGTCCCTGTCCATACAAGTTAGTTAGATAACATTTTTGGCCTGCTGCTTTTTGATCTTACTCCTCCAGGTGCATTTGCTTGATTGCAGGAGATACAGAGTGACTGGTTCACAACCTAAAATGTCCCTGACCCGTTAGTTAAAGCTTATAGCAACTGGTGAGGAAATTTACGGAAGAATATGGGTGAGTATGAACATAAAATGATCAGCACATTGGCACTTCTGCCAGAAAATGTCCATTCAATGCCAATGCGTTCGGGAGCTTAACACCAGCTTGACACCTTTAATATAAAGGTTGAAGCCCCTCCTTCTCAGCAGGAGTTTTAACTTCACATATTTTAGCTGTTTCTTCAGGCATTAGATTTTTCTATTATTGCAATAAAAAGGACACCATGTCCTCTTCCAGCGGTCTAAAGGATTCTGGCTATATTGTTCAGATCCACAAGCTGTTCAGCTACCCAGGACCCAATCACATAGTTGTTGGCAGGCAGAAAGCCTTCATCATCAACAACTGGTCACCACTCTGCAGATCAATCGGTTACTTGTTGCCAGCCAAATCTCAGTCCGTTTACATCTCCTTGGAGCCAATCCATCTGCAGTAATCTGTCTGCACTGTTTAGATGAACAACGATATAAAAGCACTTGCAATTGCTGGTGGTGGCTTGTACTTAAAAAGTTCAGCAATCTCCACCACGTCCTTGCTTTTTTTAAAAATATGTTTCTCATTTCAGTCCACAATCAAACGTGCAGAAAAAACAGAAAAGGTACGGTCTTTACAAAATGAAAAAAAATGTGACTGATCCAAAATAGTTTGGTTGCCAGCATTACAGCCAATTGCAAAATTGAACCATATACAACTAAAAAGACCCAGGTTTATTCAGATTCTAAGCCACAGCCCCTATTTCTTCCACAGCAACAGTAGACTTCAAACACAAAAACAGAAATTGCTGGCGAAACTCAGCAGGCCTGGCAGCATCGGTGGGAGAAAACCGAGTTAATGTTTCTGAAGAAGAGTCACCAAACTTGAAACATTAACTCTGTTTTCTTCCCACAAATGCTGCTAGACCTGCTGAGTTTCTCTTGCACTTTCTGTTTTGTTTCAGATCTATTTAGATTTAGATTTTTATGTCACATGTATTCAAGTAGCCAGATATCTGCCTCATGTCTCTATCAAAACAATACTTCTAGAAATATGTTTGGAGACAAAAATGGGTGTGACTGAAATATCCATTGCAGTTAACTTGCCAGCCAGCATTCACTGTCTTACACATTATAAATGCTCAGTTAAGTTTTCTATTAGAATGAAGCAAAAAGAGGTGACTGCCATCCATGGAATCATACAGCTCTCAGCATGAGTCAATAAATCCAAGTGAAAGAAATCAAAAGAATAACAGTGGCAAGGAAAATACTGCACTGAGAATGTATTTGTGTAAATAGGTACCTAATCCTGGCAAAATAGTAATCATAAAATCAGATTCCTTTGTAAAGAACCATGTTCTTTGAACCCATAAATAGTGAATGCTCTGCCTATTTTTTGTTAATGGTTCCAAATGGTTAGAATTTCTAATCTAAATATATTGGTCTTTGCCAGTCACCATGAATCGGTACCATCAATTTGCTTACCGATTTCCCATGGAGACAGTACACAGCTAACAATTGTCTTTTTTTCTGAAATGAAGTCTGCAACTCACCATTGCCAATACTTAACAGACAAATGTTTGATATATTGCTACAAAATCATGCTATCTTAATTTTGCTATTTTAATGTATTTACTTTTAAACAAGTTTATGATGCTGTCGAAGTAACAGAGAAATGAATTTCCAATGGATGTGTTCATCCACTAATGTCAACATCTGAAATTTCTGTGCTAATATACTTTGCTAATTGATTTGTGGCATTTTAGTGTTAAAACATAGAATAACTGAATAAAGAAAGGAGCTGTAGCACAAGATTTAGTAATCTGTTTTCAATTCTCTTTGTATGGAAATTTTTAAATAGGATCCTTCATGACAATTAAGCTCTGAATTTAGATCAACATCAAATATTTGGAGGGATGTGAAAGAATGTAATTTTGGTTATCAGAATGTGGTCATTATTTTTAAAGAGGGATTCTTCCATAATTATTCAATGATATTATTGCATGATTTTTCTATTACATCTTCAAGAAGTAAGCAAGATAAAAATGTTGTGATTTTAGAATGCACTTTTAAAATTTGGACCACAAGGCAAACTGATTCAAAGCCTGTTACTCTGCAGTATAAATACTTCTGACTAAATATATGCCACTCTAGGGCACTGTCACAATGGGTACTTCAGACTGCCTACTCTTTGACACCATTACACATTGTCCTAAGACCTTTGTGTTGCATTTAAAATCTTTGCTGTCAACCTAAATTGGACTTAGTTTTAACTGCCAGTCGCATAAAGTCATTTTATATATTCACATGTGGTATCCATGAATCAACTGGCAACAAAAATGAAGTTAGATATTGAAATGGAAGTCTTTAAACAACATATGATGTTCATGGATGGACATTTAATTCATTACATAACATATACATTTCTTTTGATTTTGTGGAGAATTAATTTTACAGTAGTTTCTTTAACAGGAAAGGGAACGTCTGTTAACATCAATATTCACAACAAGGGAAGGGAACGTGTGCTGATATCAGTATTAACAACTTACAATCTACACTGTTTTAATGCAATTGGCAAACCTGCAGGGGATCAGAAGGCTGATGCACTTTTTTGCCTGGACTTCTTTTAAGTGATCCATTACATTTCAGGAGTCAAATAATTGAACCTCCATCCACCAATGAGTTATGCCCCTGGTTAGGTGATGGAGGTTCATAAGAGTGAACGTTAGAGAAACCTGGAGTGCTAGCAACAGAGAATATTTCTGAGAGTTCTAGAGGAATATTCCTCCTCATTCTTGTTAACAGTTTTGGGAGATTTTCTTGTATGGTTTAAACTGGGCTGGAACATGTGCAAGATATAGTGCACTTTGTTTTGTCCTAAAAAGGAGTCTACTGTATAAGACATTAGCTTACAGATTTTAAAGATATACAGCCTGATGCAGGTCACGGCTTCAGGCAGCAATCATCAGGCCCGTTTAAAGATGCTGACAGTCAGTGCATGATATTAAAGGGGCAATGATTCAAGCATTTTAAGATTGTTACATGGTTAACTAATGTCAATTTGGCTATGTTAGAATCAGCTCCATTGTGTCTACATTCTTGCATAATGTTATTAGTCTTAGCTCCTAATGAAATGTAGTTGAAATATTTTCTGAAATAGGAAATATAAAGTAATTACTATTTCATTTCAAATTTATGCTTGAAGAAGAGAGCTTATTTCTCCTTGTTCTACTGGGATTGCTATTTTAGGATTATGATGCACTATCTGACTGTAGATGAATAAATGTTTGTCTCTCTCTCTCTCTGTCTGTCTGCTGCCTTCTTCCACAACTAATTTGGTCTCACTTTTTGATGGATTGGTGGAAAACAGTATCAACAGACCAAGGAGCACCCAATACCATAATAGGTAAGACCCTAAGTAAATAATGCTTTGAAGCATTTTGTCCATCTAAACTACTAACCAAGTCAAATGTGACAATTATTAGCACGTAAAGTTATTGCAGCATATGTCAAAAGTAGCACTGTCAATGTAAACTGTAATATTTGAGGTAGGAAAGGAATGGCCTGGATGAGGTCTTGTGCTTGCATGTTGCTTTAGCCCACATTCAGGACACGGTGATATCTTGGTAAAGGAATTGAAGCTAGACCTAAGAACAGGCATCTGAAGTCTCGTTGAACAGCTGATTGCTGAAGTGCCAACTGGTGATCATGAAATGGTTTTTGTGATATTATGGTGGCTTAGTTTTGGTCAACTGGCCCATTGCCCTCTCCTCCTAACTTTTCGGAAGTAATTATGACATTGATACCAATTCAGGTCAGTAACCCTCATTTCTCTCAAGTTCTTGAGCTCCCACATGAGCAAGAGAAAAGAGGACGGGGTGGCATTCTGAACTCTGCAAGTGCAGCCCCTCCTTTCTCCTCTGGACCTCCTCCACCTGTCTCTCCAGTGCGCCCTCATCTTCAAACCCAAGTATTGTGCAATGCGCCACTGTGTCACAACCAGGGTATGTTGCAACTTCTGCAATGGATATGTGGAGTCCACATTTACTGTTCCATCCACACTGCAAAGAAATCACCGCATGAATGCAAATCTTATAGGTTTCTGGCTTATCATCTCCAGACAAATTCACATTATGATAATCAGCAATTAGCAGCAAAATTGTATGCTCGGTCTTAAGTTTCACTTGGCTAGTCACATAAGCACTTCAATCATTTAGCATATCTTTGTGCAAAAATAGTCCCCCCAGTGTCTCACATTTAAAAAAAACCTTCCTTTTTGTGATCAGTAGAAATCCTGTACATTTTCCATTCTAAATCTATTTAATTGTATTTTTAACATTTTTTATTCTAACTATCATAAAGAAAATATTACAGGAATAAGTTTTATTATAAATCAGCATTTTTTAAAATTCAGTTATTGTAAACAATGGTAGGCATCCATAAAAAGTGGAAGTTGGCCTTGTGAATGAATGACAGGAGAGTAAGATTTTATTTTGTTTCCTGATATGAAGTGTGCAGAATAATTCTGGCAAAACTATGCAGGACATTGGGATCATTTATGCCTATGTTCTGAGTGCTACTAGTTCCATAATACTATCTGCAGTGCTTGTTCACTTTTTCCGAAGTACTTGTTCTCTGTATAACTTTGTTTGACTTCATGCTCCTACACAATACTTAAAGCAACATTGCTGAAAGTGACTTCACTTTCAAAGGAGGGCACTCCAGTCTTGGAAAACCATTTAATGCAGTGTGGGTCTTGAAGGCTGTACTATGGATTGAATCATCTCAGCACAGGAAGCAGCAAAATGGGCTGGTTGTCTGGCAGACAACAGCAAGGGCATCAACAGAGTGACTGGGTTTGGAGGAGAAATGCTATCTTCCTAAAATAGAACTTAAGCATATAAGAAATAGGAGATGTATTAAGCCATTAAACCCCTCGAGACTGCCCAACCATTCATTTACATCATGACTGAATTTAAGAGGAGAGTAGGTTCATGTCCGTGGAGCCTCTACCACTTCACCAGGACAGTACCCTGACAATTCAGTAATCTTTTGAGGAAGGGGTTGCTGGATCACTGAGAAACTCTGTCATCCTGGCCCTGATGGGAGCAGTCTGAACTTCCATGACAGCAAGCTTAGTTTCCACTGCAGACATCGGATATTGGTGGCTCTGCTTGTCCTCCAACTGAAAGATACTGCATTAGTTGTTCTATGCTGCATTATTGTTGGGTCCACAAGTGTGAGAAATTAAGTTCCATGCTGAAAAGGGGGGGGCTTCAACCTCAATAGTAAAGATGTCAAGCTGGTGTTATACTCCCGAATGCATTGGCATTGTCATAGAATGGACATTTTCTGGCAGACATTTCAACGTACTGATTATATTTATGTTCATACCTACCCATATTCTTCTGTAAATTGCCTCAACAAATTGTTCACTTGTGCTATCAAGAGTAGAACCCTTATTTGAACTGACCCTTCAACAATCTGGTATCTGCAGTATTCTCAGACCCTACTCTGAATGTGGTCTACTTAGCCCCAGTGTTTCACTATCTATAGATCCCAACTTAATCTGTCTTTTGAGCCATGCACAGTGTCAGAATCCTGAGCTAGTGGTTGCAAGTATGAAAACAAATTGCAAAACTGTATCTTCATCGTAACTGTCTCCTGATATTCCTTCACTGCCTGGCTGATTCACCTGCTATGAAAGAAAAGAGCACTGCAGTAAGTTTGAATTAGGGAAATTGGAAGGCGCTTACATCATCTGTAGCATATATATCAGAGCTCTATAATCAATTGAGTCCAGGCTATCTATTGAATTAAGCAAAAGTGAGATAACAGAAATAGGATAAGGTTTACCTAATCCATGACACCTTTGATGGTTTCAACACCTGCCACTGGCCACAGTCTCAGTAATGACCATCCCAATAGGGGCCACGGTCTCAGTAATGACCGACCCAATAATGGCCATGGCCTCAGTAATGACCATTCCAATAATGACCAGGTCTCAGCAATGGCCATCCCAATAGGGGCCATGGCCTCAGTAATGGCCAACCCAGTAAGGGCCATGGCCTTAGAAGTGACCATTCCAATGATGACCAGGTCTCAGTAATGGCCATCCTAATAGAAGCCATGATCTCGGTAATGGCAAACCCAATAGGAGCCATGGTCTCAGCAATGCCCAACCCAATAGGGGCCATAGTCTCAGTCATGATCTCAGTAATGGCCATCCCAAAGCAGCCATGGTCTAAGTAATGGCTATTCTAATAATGGACATGGTCTCAGTAATGGTCATCCCAATCGCCTATGTTCTCCATGGAGGATACACAGGCACATTTCTTCCCTCTACTTACTTCCTGCTATTTCCAGTTATGCACCAGCTTGTCCAGCAAGAAAGAAGGATGTGTAATGATGTGATTCAATTTGTTTAGCTCAGATGTTGCCATTCCTGGTCTGTGAGATATACATGTGAGGCTTACAGCCTTATGAAGTGAGTGAAAGTGAAGTGAGTCATATGAACGTGTGATGCAGGAATGTAGTTTATATATATTGTAATATCATTTATTTTGGAATATTGAGTTTTGAACTGGCGCCATGTGGGTTTTCTGTGCACCTGAATGAGTTAAAGGATTAACTTGCAATTATTCATGTAACCATGGTGATTTCTTTTAAAACACAATATTTACGGTAATGATATTTTAGTTTACATTGGGAGAGATTACAAGCAAACAAAGCAAGCAGTGCAGTGATTTAGGCTTTTAGATAGAAGCTTCTGGATATGATAGAAAGCTGGACATGTAAAATTCTTGCTCCTGAGAAAGGGAGGTTGCTCAGGACTATTAAGAAAAAGATTATTTCGGTGTAAGGAGTTTAGTTTGAAAGCTCCAGACTAGACATGTTTGGTTGAAATGCTGAAGGGGTTATTTAAAGCTGAGAAAGTCTACGATCTGTTGCATCTGTGGGTAAACCAAACCTTATGAACAAAAAACTAGATTGGAGGAAAAAAAAGTCTCAAATTCATACCAGAGAGAGAGAAAAGAAACATGAATTATGTGTAAACAAGATAGCCATCACCCCAGTAACGAATGCTTAGCTCCAGCCCATGATGAATTGAGATGTCAATGATGTAATTGAGGCATTTGAGAAGTTTAACCCAAAAGCGTAGATTGGCATTCAGTAGTTTTCTTAAGGCAGAGCTTTGACTACTCATGTGAGGCCCAAGAAGTTCTTGTAAGTCCTTGGGGCTTGACTGCTTAAATTAATGCCTTTCACTGCTGGCTCCCAATGTCTTTTAAATGTACATTTAGAATGACCTCCAGTAGATATTGGACATGTCTCTTATTTTCTAGCTCCTCCACTAAGATCACCTAAGCAACCAGCATCAGAAAATCTTGGAGCTTGTTCTCTTCCATGTTGTGCCATTCTCCACATTCTCCCAGCTTAGCCTCACCTCCTGCAAGACTGTCAGCAGTTGCTCCATTCATAGTACAACATCCCATTTAAGGGGTACAGACTAGCTTTAATTGGTGTCAGTGAGTTTTGATTTGGGTCCTCTGATGATGTGTCTTGAGCGCTGGCTGTGTGCAGCAATCACTCACACAAGTTGAAATTTGTGTGCTGCCTGCATCATGTTGAATTGGCATTAATTGCCTCTCATGATTCCTGTGCCTGTTTTCACGAGCTACCACCCAATCTTGTCTACATTATAGTTTCCACTGTTCCAACAAAAAAATAATTATTCCATAGCTGTGTGCAAAACTATTAAGTGCACTCAGCTTGAGCCCTGTCAATGTATGTAAAATACTTCCGTGTGTCTTTGTTTTGAGCTTCCATAGAGCCTTATTAAATTGCTCTGCTCAGGATAAGGGGAGGTTTGACTGGCCCTTCCAGTCAGCTGTTAGATCATGCTGCCTGCAGGAAAATGTGACTCTTCAGGACTCTATGACTTGATTTTTGATGCACTATTTCATTATGTTTTCCATCATTAGCGTTAATCAAAAGCCGTTTGCACTATTGATCAGAACGCTGTTAAGCCAAAACATTGGAAACAGATAAGCAAAACTTATTTTGAATTACTGAGGAGAAAATTCTGAAACTCTTATGTTGGAATGTAGGCTTATGAATAATATGTCAAAAATAATTTAGTTCCTTTTACAGTCAATTGCAATGAGGCTTTTCATTGCTGATATGATAATCATGAAAATAGTGATTTTAATTATTCCAAATCACTCAACTAACCATTGGAAAGGTTACAATTGGAGTGATTAATGACATATCTGCATTGTTCTGCGCCGAGTGTCTAATTTTCTAATAAGACCACATCAGTACCTTAACAAAACACAAAGCAATGTCAGCTTTCCTGCTGACAGCCATTAGACACAATTCTTACCCAAGAGAGAAACTGTGTTT